TTGAGACAGAGTCTCACTGTGTTGCCCGGGCTAGAGTGCCGTGGCGTCATCCTAGCTCACAGCAACCTCAAACTCCTGGGCTCAAGCAATCCTTCTGCCTCAGCCTCCCAAGTAGCTGGGACTACAGGCATGCGCCACCATGCCCGGCTAATTTTTTCTATATATATTTTTAGTTGTCCAATTAATTTCTTTGTATTTTTAGTAGAGACGGGGTCTCGCTCTTGCCCAGGTTGGTTTCGAACTCCTGAGCTCAAACAATCCGCCCGCCTTGGCCTCCCAGAGAGCTAGGATTACAGGTGTGAGCCACCGCGCCCGGCCGATTTTCTTTTTTTTTTACGAGAGTCTTGGCTGGTCTGAAGGTAGTGAGTTATCTCACTTGGTTGTTCACAGTCAGTTACAGACCGAACTCCTTGTTCTACTCTTTCCCACCTTCTCACTACCACATTTGACTAGTCTAAACAAACAAACAAACAGAGAGTCTTGAGCTTTAAATGTGCTGGGTGGGGAAATGGGCCCCTTTATACCCCTGAGAGAACAGGTAAATTGGTGTAGACTTTCTGGAGGGCAATTTGGTCGTATCTGTGAAAATTAAAATATGTCATTCCATTATTAGGGAACTACTCCATTGACACACTTGCACAAGTACACTAAGATATTTACTCAGGGATTTTCTTTTCAGTCAAATTTGTAGGAATGACAAACATGAAACAACTGAATTGTGATAGAGTAATGATTAAATGTCGCGGCCCGGATTGCAGAACGGGGGATGGACACAGAAAGAAACACACAGACACATACAAGACGTACAAGACTGCAGTACCCGATTTGCACCAGTCGTTTTATTTATATACCTTTTCTATGTCCGGCAGCTACTTCCTGGTATGTGACTACCTTGGGCACCTTGAGGAAAACACATTTTCATTCCTTCCAGACGATTGCTCAAGGGAAGCAGATGTTTGCATCTTAACTTCTTTATCTCATTACCGTATGCAGGACAATGAGTTGCCTTGGCTTGTTTGCAAGACCCCAGGCGCTTGGTTATTTGTCATAAAGCCGTCCGTCATGAGGAATAGTTCTGTTTGTCCAACAGGCGGTGTCCGGACCTATTGTCGTCTGGCCCCAAGGAGAGCACATCCAGTTTCGCTGACTCTGGGCTTAAGCCAATTTTTGCCCAGGGATGGTCCCTACATTAAATGAATCATGGCACATTCAAACCAAGGAATTTTGTAGCCATTTGAAGCCCAAAGTAAGCAGTAAGATTGCCAAGATATACGAAGTGGAATGAAGTCACAGAATAATATTCCTGGTGTTCATCAGTGATGCAAAGCTAACCAAAAAAACCTGTGTGTGTATGCATCTACGTGTTTGCAAATGTGTTTTTATAAGGATCTGGAAGCCTGTATCAAAGCGTCATAAGTATACTCTCCTTTCACTTTTTATTTCTATAATAACCCAGAAGTGTGAACTTTTTATGGCCATGTATTACTTTTACGATTTTAAAACAAGTTTTAAGTGCTGATGTCAAGATAGCAGTAGAAAGGAAGAGTTTGAAGACACTAGTGAAATGGGGTAAAGAAAGGAGGAAGCTCCCTGAGGATTAGGAATGACGATGGCAATACAAGTAGTAGCGGGAGCAGCTCACATTCATTTAGCAATTGAAACGTGCCAAACTCTGTTCTAAGTGCTTTACAGATATCAAACTACCTCATTCTCACTACTGGTCTATGAGGCATAGATTATCAGTCAAGGGGATGGAGGCACAGAGAGGTCAGGCAGCTCTCACAGCTGGCAAGTGCCGCAGCTGTGACTCAAACCCAGGTGGTCTGGATGCAGAGCCAGTGCACTTAGTCACTGCCCTCTATTGCTGGCCGGGGTGGGAGTCCAGCGCACAGGGCGGGGGTGGCCTGACAGGATGAGGGAAAGCTAACCAAACCTGTGTGTCGGTTTTCTGTTGCTTGGTAACATGTTACCACAAACTTCAAGGCTTAAAACAACCACTATTGATTATGTAACAGCTCTGTAGGTCAGAGATCTGGGCAGGCTCAACTGGGTTCTCTACTTAGCATCTTACAGGACCAAAATCAAGGTGTCAGGCGGCTTGGGGTTTCTCTGGGGAAGAATATGCATCCCAAGTCACTGAGGTGGCCAGAATTCAGTTCTTTTTGGCTGTAGGACTTAGATCCCCATTTCCTTGCTGGCTGCTAGCCAGGGACCTCTAATTGGAGTCTGTTGCGTCCCTCACCATGTGGCCCCTTCATCTTTGTCTTTAAGGCAAGTAATGGCACAAGAACTCTTTCACAGGCTTGCAATCTCTCAGACTTCCTCTGTGGTTACCAGTCAGAGACAACTCTGGAGTATCAAAGGGTTCCTGTGATTAGGTGAGGAACACCCAGAATAGTCTCCCTTTCCTTGTGCTTGTAACACAATCTAATCACGGGAGTAAAATCCAGCCTGTCAACAGTCCTGAATATTAGGGGGAGAAATCATGGGGTCTTTTCAGAATTCTGCCTACCACAACCATGATGACACAGGTTGGTAGGATGTCTTGGCGATGGGAGGTTTGAAGGCTAACATTGTCTTCCTGGATAGGAGTGGAAAATGTGGAACTTGAAGGAGATATTTGAGAATGAAGAAAGTTTAAATAAATGACTAGCAAACTTTTGGTTTGCTATTTGACTTTTTGGGCTCAGTTCTCATTTGAGTTTGGACATGATGAATCTGTAAAAGGCATCAATCCATGTGGCCATGTGATTTTTCTCTACCAGCCTGGGTATAGCAACAGAGGAGGAAGATTTTGGTTGAAAGTTCTTCTGGGTAAGCAGGGCAAAGGATCACAGGCCAAGGGAAATGACAGGCTGAAGAGATGTTCCTTAGAATCTAGGCCAGAAACAGAAGACAAAAAACCAGAGTGAGGGAGAAATGACAGCCATTAACCTGCAAGGGCTGCAGGGGATGGATGGCCAGATTGTAGCAAGGCAGGAAGTGGAAGGTTGCTTTGGTAAGAGATTAGAGGTCTATAGCAATGGTTCTCCACGTATGGTCCCCTAACCAAAGGCATTGGCATCATTTGGAAACTTGCTAGTAAAGCAAATTCGCAGATCCACTCCAGAACTAGTGAAGAGAAACTCTGGAAGTTTTTGAGTGGAGCACAGGAATCTGTGTCTTCACAAGCACCGCAGTTGATTTTGGTGCCTCAAAGGTTTGACAGTCATTGATGCAGATTCTTTCATGTTGTGTAAGAATGCTTTTATCATGAATGGGATTAGAGAGAGACAGTAACAGATTCCTGGAAGAGAACAGGCTGTAACTGGGTAGGAAATACTGAGACATATGGCAGAGGACAGATGGCCTATGTTCTGCACGCTGAGGAAGGACGACAAGGATAAGTGTAAGGCATAGCTGAATCCACTGGCCTTACAGTTTTCAGAAATAACAAGTCCTGGCCATTCCAATCTCAACCGATTTGTGTTCCTGAGGTCCTATTCTGAGGCCAAGAACAGGATCATTTACTGATGAGAGTTGGAGATGGGTTGGTCCGGGCCTGGCCTGGGCACTCTTTACAAAGGGGGCATCCAAACCCCAGGAGAAGTGGCAGAAAATGGGAGCAAGAGTTTCTGGGACCCTGACTGAGTGCTGATAGCAGCAACAGATCAGTACTGGATACTGCCTATGAGCAAGCTCTGGCTTCATTTTGGCTCAGCAAAGAATAGTTTTCCTCTCTTCTAGCTACACACACCACCCTGACCTCCTGACGTGCCTCTGCTGCAGCCTAGTCTGGCTACCAGAGCACAGGTGGGCTGTGGTTCCACAATAGGAAGAAAGTGAGGGATGAATTTTGGGATGTGGGTATCAGACCCAGTATGGTCATTCCCCTATATTTTCTTTTTTAGAGATGGTTAGAGACAGGATCTCACTCTTGTCACCCAGGCTAGAGCGCAGTGGTGCCATCATAGCTCACTGCAGCCTCCAACTCCTGGGCTCAAGTGATCCTTCTGCCTCAGCCTCCCAAGTAGCTAGGACTACAGGTATACACCACCACACCCATATAATTCTTTCAAAAATTTTTTGTAGAGACAGGTCTCACTATGTTACCCAGGCTGATCTCCAACTTCTGGGCTCAAGCAATCCTCCCTCCTTGCCCTCCCAGAGTGCTGGGATTATAGCCATGAGCCACCTTGCCTGGCCCCCTATATTCATAAACTTTTTCTGAGTCAATCACTCTGAAAATCATGGGACTCTGGCAGTAAGAAGCAAGGTAAATACAATGTGGCCAAACAAGATTCTTCATTCATGTTATAGGTATCCTTCACCCTCCAAATCAACAAATCATGTCAGGTGAACATAAATGCATACTTTTTATATGACAGCAAGGCCAAACGTACTCAATATTTAAAAACAGTTGGCCCTCTTTATCAGTTTTTGTATCCATGAATTCAACCAACCATGGATCAAAAATATTAAAAAAAAAAAGGAAGATAGTTGCTTCTATACTAAACATGTACAGAAGGTTTTGTCCTTGGCATTATTCCCTAAACAATACAGTATAACAACTATTTTCATTGTATTAGGTATTGTAAGTAATCTAGAGATGATTTAAAGTATATGGGAGGATGTGTGAGGAATATAAGTAAATACTACGCCATTTTATATAAGGGACTTCAGCACCCGTGTATTTTGGTATCTGCGGGGGGCAGACCAAGTGGTCCTGGAACCAATGTCCCTCAGATACCAACGATTGGTATGTTTCATACTATTAAGTTTAAAATGTAACAATGCATGTGGGTGAATGTATATAGCATTCATGTAAGAAAAGTCCTACAATTGTTTATGAAATATAAAGTATTTCTGGAAGACTTCACAAGAAACTGGTATCACTGGTAGCCATCGGAGAAGGGAAGGTAGAAAGGAAGAAGGAAGAGTTTTCATGATTGAACTTGATGTACCTTTTAAATTTGGACCATTACATGTATTATTTATAAATAAATAAATAAATACATATATTTAAAAAATAAATAATGAGCTTTTATTCTCCTCAACAACAGAGACTCCACTCTGAAGTCGATGGAAATCGAGTTGCCCCACCGTGCAGGGCACAAGCTGTGGCAGTGCCTGGAAGACCTTCCTCAGAGATTCCCTTGGGCCTGCCCCCTGCAGGAGGCATTTCAAAGGAATCAGAAACTCACGTGACCGGCAGGGAGGCGGACACTGAATAAGCTTTCCGGCCTGAAGTCAGCTGCTATCCAGAGCTCAGTCCCGGAAAGAGACAACTCCCTCTCCTGAGGGTCACGTTTTCACGGCAGGTGGGTGGGATTCGCAGCTGTGACACCACACGTCCTCCTCTCTCGGCGTCTCCATCCTCCTACTCTCTCCCTTGCACCTTCCTCTGTTCTTTGGCCACAGTGTTTGATTTTCGAGAAGAGAATGCTGAACAAGTCAAGTCCTTGTCACTCTGAGTCAGAACTCTCATTGGACTTGGAAGACTTGTGCTTCCGTTTTTTCTTCTTTCTCTTTTCTTTCTTCCTTTTCTTATGCTTTTCTTTCTTCTTCTTTTTCTTGTGTTTCTCTTTACATTCTGAGGAACTGGAGCTGCTCCCATCTTCATCTGAGGTGGAATCCTCCAGTAACTGTTTTAACTGCTGTATCCTAAAAGATACGAGATTGATCAAAAGAACTGTGATTTTTAACTTTAACTTAAAAGTTTTTAAGATAAATATATGATTTAAAAGCATTATTGGAGGAGTGTCACAAATAATGTGGAGGAGAATGTCACAAATAACCCTGTCACAAAGACAGTACTTATTTTTATCTGTTCTCCCTGTTCTTGTTCACATGAATGCCTGTTTCATATGACTGTAACCAGTGTACAAGCCATTTTGTATTCTTTTCCTTGTCCTGTACATTTCTGCATGTTCCCACAGTCCTTACAATGATAATTTCTAATAGATGCATACTTTACTAAACCATTCCCCCACTGTTCAATGTCATAGTAGATAATCTACTTCCTCAACAATTATAACTGATGAAAAACCAACCCTGTCATTTTTTCACCCTCTCTCTAATCATGTCTAAGAATAATTATTAACAATGGCTCAGACACTTAGAGACACTGGAGAAGATAAACTAAATCACATGGAAGAGTCAACTGTACCAAACAAGCAGACAGCATGACGTGGGTTGCTGACATGTTCTTAGGGCCTGGACCAAGCCCACAGCCCTAAGCTACCCTGGGTAGAAGGTTGGCCTGCCCATTCCCCTCACAGGGGTCCTCTCAGCCAGGACTCCTGCCCTGCCCATATTTCACAATTCTCCTAATATTAGAATGGTTGTTTCCAACTTTAGATAATTTAAAACTTTAAGAAGATTATTTTTATCATCAGGACAACCTCACCTTACATCCTTTTCGTGTCTTTTATTGTCTCGTATGATGTCATACATGGGATCTTCATGTGCCTTAAGGGTCAGAGAAGGTTAAGGTTCGGTTAGGCTTCATGGACCACTAGAGTTAAATAAAATTAAATCGCTATGTTACAGAAACCAGTTATTTTTTTTATTATTTGATGAAACCTTATGTTCAGTATGTTCTAATCCTTTTTAAAGGTCACATCACTGGAAACTCATTAAGGCTACAAAAAGGATTTCATAATTAGAAAATTACATGAAATAACCGAATATTCTTCATGAGGACATAATTGCATAAGCCATGGCATAGTCATACTATAAAACAGCACTCAAGTTTAGCAATATTGAGGTAATTCTTTGCTCCAGATGCATAGATGACCAAAAGGTAGTATTAAGGAAAACAAATGAGTTGTAAAATGATATCTAAGAACGATCCATTTAAAAGTACTCAAAAATACATGTCGCATACCCCAAGGAAGTCTGGAAATATACACATCAGACTACTTGCTGCACACCACTCTGGGGAGGGAGGCAAGATTAGAGTTGGTCGTAAAAACCTTACTGTGAGGATTTCACTTTGCTTAATATGGCAAATGTATTCTTGTATTAGTTAGGTAATTTAAAGTGACTTAAAGTACTTAAAAAATGAGAATACATGTAGGGAAAATGTTATAATAATTACCTCAATTTTTAAAAAAGAACAGTTATTATCCAAATTTCCCAAATTACAAAAAATTTAAATTAAAAAAATGTATTATGTCAACACCCGGGGTTAATTACTATTAACATCTGCTGTATTTCTTCTAGTCATTATTCACAATTTATGAAAAATTACAATACTACATATACAACTGTTTTTCACTTATGTTTTCATAAACATTTCCCCATAACATTACACATTCTTCTAAGACATGATTCCTATGTCTAGTTTCTATGTTATAGTAATTCGTTAGCATGTTAGACCATCATGTTGTTTCCTACATTTAGCTTCCACTAATCATGTAAGTAAAAATATGAATGTTATGCTTATACCGTTGTGTATATATTGATGTTCTCTTAAATCCTTCAAGTATATCTCTGGAAGTTGAATTTCTGAGTAAAAAAATGTTAATTTTTTTAGATTTATCAATAAGCTATGTTTATAGTATCTATAAAAATTGATATTTCACCTAAAAGGGCTTCATCTAGAATAATTTTTGTTCAGATTATGCAAATGAAAACACAAGACCTTAAATGCCTTAAAAAGTTTAGAGAATGCCTGTTGACCCCAGTTTGATGTGCAGTTCGTTCTCTGTATCCAAGAGTTCCATGCCCACAGATTCAACTAAGGATTTTAAATATTCAGGAAAAAAGGGATGGTTACGTCTGTATTGAACATGTTCAGACATTTTTTTTGTCATCGTTTCCTAAACAATATAGTATAACAACTATTTACATTGTATTAGGTATTATAAGTAAGCTAGAGATGATTTAAAGCATAAGGGAGGATGTGTATAAGTTATATACAAATATTACACCATTTTACGGAAGGAACTTAAGCATCTGTGGATATTGGTATCCAAGGGGGGTCCAGGATCCAATTCCCCCTGGATACCAAGAGACAAACATATGCTGATAGCTCCAGTACATCCACATGGCAGCACATCTCACTTGGCAGAAGCAGTTACAGAAGACTGAATTAACACCTCTGGGAAGTGACTCTGTTAAAGTGAGTTACGATACAAAGATCATTCTAATGTTAGATCTGTTTGTCATCTAAAGAGGAAATATATACAATTCTAGCTTATAATAGAAAGACATCTAATCTTTAAAGACTGGGAAACTAAAAACCTGATTTTAGTTATGAAACATGACTTTTTAAAGTTTCAAAAAGGGGAGTTAAATAGATAACAAGGTCTCCTTTAGAAAAAGAATCACTGTTCCAAGATATAAACAAAGAACACTTTAATAAGAAGACAGTTTATTCTTAAAGACCTAACTTGTCACACAAATGCAATTTAATAGAGTATAGTTAACAGCAGACAGTGGCCAAAAGGTTCCTGGTAATGGATTTTACGTGAACACTCAGTTCATTGGTGACTTTCTGATTCATTAATTTTAACCATCCTAATAAATATAAATTGACATTGTGGGGTTTTACTTACTACTCTGAACTGTTCTAATTTTTGGTTGCCTTTGATAAAGAAAGGACATTCTTTGTCGCCCGTTCGGTGACCATACCGTTTACAACGCCAACCTAAAAAACAAAAAAGGAAATATTTCTGTAAGATAACACAGTCTCACCTAATCAAGGTAAAGAATCAGTTGATTATATTGAAGTGTTTCTTCATTAAACTCCATTTCTAAAAAAAAATGCAATTATGGATGAATCATGTAAGAGCTTAGAAAACAGAGGTACACTAATTGCTTCCCCAAGCATCCTTCAATCTTGTAGCTTTAGGAATAAATTTACCATCATCAACTATATCTAAAGAAATCCAGTACAATAGTACTGCAAAAGATGACTTTTTGGATGTGTTTCACTGTTTTTCAAAGTAAATCTTTTCTATTAATCAAGTGTCTCTGATTGTCATTTATAAATTTATGTCACTAGAATAGCTTTTTTCTCAGATTAGGTGAACCACTGTACAGATCACTCACTCTTAAGTAAAAGAAAAAAAAAAGTCACAAGTTCTCTTAAAATGCTACTGCAATCAGAACCCTAGTACAACTTTATCTGCAGAATAGGGAAACTGTCCTGTTTAAAGAGGTTGAAGAAATAGCTGAAGGCCTTGATGAGGAACATGGAGGAGATATGCACAAAAGAATGCATACACATGTTCCACCGCAGCAAAGGGCAACATACATCTTCATGGAATTTCAATGGTGTGGACTTGGCATCGGGCATGGAGATCTGGGAAAAAGGAAGTGGTGCGCAAAGCAGGAATGGATGAGATCCTTGTTACTTCTCTCACCTATTCTTGTCCTCTCAGAACCAGCTGGATGTGAGGATGTGGATGTGAGGCGAATTAGGAAATTGTATGGGGACGCTGAGACCCTGTGTTTCAGTATGAAGCAACTCCAACCAAGGAGGTCAGGAAGCATGAAGAGGAATTATAGGTAAGTTCTGCCAATTTTGCTCCATGCTGGCAACTACAGAAAATATGCAGTGAAAGTTTTCCCCTTTCTATTTTTATTTGACGATTAGATACAGGAAACCATTAAAGAACCCCAAAATTTTGGATTCTCTATTGCCTCTGAGCTGTCTCTGTCCTTACGTTCTCCAACATTTAAAGATGGGGAAGAATGACTATGCTCCTTCAAACTGATAGCTGTCTTTATGGCAAAACTGAAGGGATGTGAAATGCCATTGAATATGGATTGATGTATAGATATCTGGAAGACAGGCCAGGCGCAGTGGCTCACGCCTGCAATCCTGGCACTCTGCGAGGCCAAGGCGGGCGGATTGTTTGAGCTCAGCAGTTCGAGACCAGCCTGAGCAAGAGCGAGACACCGTCTCTGCTAAAAATAGAAAGAAATTAATCGGACAACTAAAAATATATAGAAAAAATTAGCCGGGCATGGTGGCGCATGCCTGTAGTCCCAGCTACTCGGGAGGCTGAGGCAGAAGGATCGCTTGAGCCCAGGAGTTTGAGGTTGCTGTGAGCTAGGCTGATGCCATGGCACTCTACCCGGGCAACAGAGTGAGACTCTGTCTCAAAAAAAAAAAAAAATCTGGAAGATATCATTTCTGCTCAGAATCTTCTTACCATTAAAAGAAAGGTGGTCCTTGCTATTCAAAGTGTGGTCCATGGACCAGGAAAACCAACAGCACAAGGGGGACTGCTAGAAATGCAGGGTATCAGGCCCAACATAGTAATACTAATAGACAACCTCAATTTTAAGAGATTTATTGGTGATTTATAGGCATAACAAAGTAACTTTTCTAGTTAATTCTTGAATTAATTCTAATTCTAGAATTGATGAAATTTTAAAAAGTGTGTAGAAGTGTGTGTCTTTTTTTCCCATCTGGAATGGTTCCACATTTTGTGGGGCTTGAAGCTTGTATTACATGACAGGGAGGGGTGGGGAGAAAAGGCTGTTTAGGAAGAAAAATACAAGAACATCTTGGAAAATTTTATATCATATGACCATATGAACACACTGCTGGGGTCCCCACAGGCCTTTGAGCTTAAGCTTCATTAACTTCATGGCAAAACTGGCTCTGGTCTCAACCCAAATCCTCTTATTTTCCAAGTCAATAAAAAGAAATGTAAAATCTTGAAGTGAAATACAACTAACCACCTCATCAAATAGAGCTGTGGTTTTTAAGCTTTAAAGAAAAAAAAAACCTATAGACTTCTGAGTAAAGATGGCAGACAAAACATACACATCTTTTTTCCTTCCCTTCCTGAGATTCCATAAAAATGATACAATAACGAAGACAATTCCTTTACAAAGGAATAAGCCAGGAGCTACCTGGTGAATGGCCAAGTGTCAACCTCCATAAATCTGTTCCTCCCTTAAAGCAATGAAAATAGTTGCAAATTTACACAAATCAACTCTTTTAAAACTTTGGAAGTTAACCAAAGGCTTGGCACAATCTGAGGAGCATTAGTTCTAGAAAAACTACTAACCCTCAGTAAGAACAATGGGATTTCTGATTATTTTAGCTCAGCGACTCTCAACCCGCTCCCCCCAGCCCTGCAACAGTCTTGAAATCATCAGCAGGCTTGAAACTACCCAAGGAGGAATATTGAATTTTGAGCCACTCAAAAAGCCCTAACCCCAGAGCACTGTCACTACTTGCCTGTCTCACAGCTCCCTGGAAAAGCCACACATATAGGGTTTTGTTATTTGACTAGTCCTGACAATCATTCTACAGGAAAAACCTGATCCCCAGGATATTTGCTGAAAACAATCACCTGCAATTGTTTAACATCACAGCTGCCTAGGGCTTCACTATCAGTTGGGCAAACAAGAACCCAGCCAAAAATTTAAAAGAAAGATCTGGAGGACAAGATATGCAAAGGGGGCTTTCAAAAGTTCTGACATAATCCTCAGCATCAGAATGCTGCATATGTGTGCAAGGCTGTGCCACATACAGTAAGGGCTTGAGAAGGCCCTGTTCTCTAACTTTTGGCTGACCTTGAGGCCTTGTGCCAGCAAGCAAGTGGCGAAGGCAAAGGCAGACATGTAAACCATCTGAGCGCTGAATGCATACTCCAATACGTATATATGATCTCTTAGAAAAGGGAAGAATGTTCCTTGGATCAAGACATTTAAGGAAATTTCTGACCACTAAGCTACCTGAGCACAGACATCAGTGGCCATACACTACAAGGAATACAGATTTACACAATTAATCCAGGAACGTTAGAAAAGATACAAAAACCAACAACAAGAAATTCTGGGTAGGAGGGTATGATCTGATGATCTGATTTCCAAAGTCACCACATTATATTATCCAAAACATTCGGTTTTCAACAAAAAATTGCAAAAGACAGAAAGGGTAAAGTAAGTCCAGATGTTAGACTTACTAGACAAAAACTTTAAATCAACTGTTATAAGTTCAAAGAAATAAAGAAACCATGCCTAATGAATTAAAGGAAAGTATGAAAATGATGTCTCACAAAATAAAAATTATCAATAAATAAATATACATTATAAAAAGAATCAAATAGGAATTCAGGACTTCGAAAGTACAATAAAGGAAATGAAAAATTCACTAGGGGGTCTTAACAGTGGGTTCAAAATGGCAGAACAAAGAATCAACAAACATCCACTCTGAAAAACATAAAAAGGAATGAAAAAAATGCCTAGACACACAGATACCTGAGGATACCTCCAAGTTTAACAGCATACACATAATGAGTTCGAGAAGGGCAGTGACAGAAAGGATAGAAAGAATATTTGAAGTGGCAATGGATCAAAACTTCCCAAATTTGATGAAAACCAATGTATAAATCTGAGATGCTGAACAGACTTCAAGTAGGATCAGTTTTAATAGAGATCTATATCATAGGCAAACTGTTAAAAGCCAAAGATAACGAGAATTTTGAAAGCATGAAGAGAAAACAATTCACGACATACAATCAATCCTCAATAAGATTAAGAGCAGACTCCTCACCAGAGACTATTAACGGCATAAATTTACTGCATAGGTTTAAAGGAAAAAAAACTATACATGGCAGAAGGCAGTGGAATGATATATTTATAATGCTAAAAGAAAAAGACTATCAAATCAGAATTTTATAGCTAGCAAACTATCCTTCAATAACAAAAGGAGATGCCAGGCATAGCAGCTGATGCCTGTGATCCTAGCACTCTGAGAGACCGAGGTGGGAGGATTGCTTGAGGCCAGGAGTTTGAGACCAGCCTGAGCAAAAGCAAGACCCCAGCTCTACAAAAAATAGAAAAATTAGTTTGATGTGATAGTGTGTGTATGTAGACCCAGTTACTCAGGAGGCTGAGGCAGGAGGATTGCTTGAGCCCAGGAGTTTCAGGTTCCAGTAATCTGTGATGACACCACTGCACTCTAGCCTGGGGAACAAAGAGAGACTCTGTCTCAAAAAAAAAAAAAAAAAAAAGACACAGTTAGGTTGAAGAATGAATAGAGATAAACAGTGTAAATGGTAACCAAAAGGGAGCTACAGTTGCTTCACTAATTTAACACAAAATAGACCCTAAGATAAAAACTGTTACAAGAGATAAAGAAGGACATTTTGTATTGATAAAAGGATCAATCCATCAAGAAGATATAACATTTATAAACATGAACATACTAGAAAAAAGAGTGCCAAAAAGATGAAACAAAAACTGACAGAATTAAAAGGGAAAATAGAACAATGCAACAATAATATTAGAGATTTCAATATTCCATATTCGATAATGGAAAAAAGAACTGGAGACCAACAACAAATTTTAAGACTTAAATAACAATATAAACCAACTGAACCTGTAAAATACTCTACCACCCAACAACAGCATAAACATTCTTTTGAAGCTGACATGGAACATTATCCAGAAATAAGAATTAATAAATTTAAGAGGATTTAAACTATACAAAGTATGTCCTCGAACCACAATGGACTCAAATTACAAAGCAACTATAGAAGGAAATTTGGGGAATCCACAAATTAGTAGAAACTGAACAACACACTTATAAACAATCCATGTGGGTCAAAGGGGACATTAGAAAATATTTGGATCTGAATGAAAGTTAAAACACAACATATCAAAATCTATGCAATGCAGATAAAGTGGTGCTTAGAAGGAAATTTGTAGCTTTAAATGTCTATATTAGAACAGAAGAAAGATCTCAAATAAATAATCTAGGCTTTCATTTTAAAAATCAGTAAAAAGGATAACCCAAACCAAAGGTAAGCAGAAGGAGGAAATAGTGAATTATGCCATTGGCAGAGCTCAAAAACATTATGCTAAATGAAAGAAGACAGATCACAAGTGAAAGAAAACAAAAATAATATGAATCCATTTATATGAATATGATATGTCCAGAAAGCCAATTCATTAAGGTAGTAGATTAATGGTTGCCTGGAGCTACAAATTGAAATGAACTAGAAATGGGGTGAGGGACCTTAACGGGGGGACGAAAATGTTCTAACACTTATTTATGGCAATGATTGCACACACTCAGTAGTTATTAAAAATCATTGCATTATGTACTTGTTTCAGGATGATTTTCATGATATACAAAATAAACCACAATAAAAATATTTTTTAAAAAGCCATAAACACAAAAGGATAGGAAAACCAAAGAAGATTCAAGCCCATCACCATAGTGTCTGAAAAATAATTAAATTAAAATTAAAAAAAAAAACAACAGGCCGGGCGCGGTGGCTCACGCCTGTAATCCTAGCACTCTGGGAGGCCGAGGCGGGCGGATTGTTTGAGCTCAGGAGTTCGAAACCAGCCTGAACAAGAGCGAGACCCCGTCTCTACTAAAATTAGAAAGAAATTAATTGGACAACTAAAAATATATAGAAAAAATTAGCCGGGCATGGTGGCGCATGCCTGTAGTCCCAGCTACTTGGGAGGCTGAGGCAGGAGGATCGCTTGAGCCCAGGAGTTTGAGGTTGCTGTGAGCTGGGCTGACGCCATGGCACTCTAGCCCAGGCAACACAGTGAGACTTTGTCTCAAAAAAAAAAAAAAAAAAACCAACAAAAAAGAGTCAAATACAAAAAAATGTGGAACATTACAATGTAGCTAGATGAATACTACACGAATAGTTGACCCACAGAAAGCCAAAGTCTAAGGCAGCAGAGGTGAGAACTGAGAACCAACTCGATTTCTATCTGTAGAACTTCCAAAACAACTGGTAGCACCAGATACTTCTGAAAATAGAAGTGAAGGGTTAATTAAAATAAGGAGGGTTGGTTAAAGTCCAGGGGCAACTCTGAAGAGGGGGAGGGAGAGGGCAAGAGAAAAGGCGGCAGGGGAGAGAGAGAGAGATTTTTAGTATCCCATCTTTTCAAAGGCACTAATCATATCATGAGGGCCCCACCCTCATGAACTCATCTAACCCTAATTACCTCCCAAAGGCCCCATCTCCAAATATCACATTAGAGATTAGGGCTTCATCATACAAATTATGGAGTTGAGGGGGTGGGGAACTAACATTCAGTCCATAATATATGGGAGCACCATCTTCAGAAAGATGTAATTGACAGAATATCTCAAATATTTGAATTGAAGGTCTTAAATCTGAAGCTTGGAAACAATTTGAGGTTGAATCAGAGATCAGCACATGGAAAGCAAAAACAATAATAATAATAAAACAAAATTCAACAACAACAAAAACAGAACCACCATTAATTTTGGGAGGGGGGCATTATGCAGATTATGACTTAGCTCTGAACATAATCATAATAAATACCAAAGACATATCTAAGTAAAATCATGATATATTTACTGGGAAAATGAGATATAGCAAGGGCACAGGTGTGTGGTGAGAGCAGAACTCGTCCACTGCATGAAGTACCAAATTATGCCTAAATCTGAAAAATCAAGGAGCAGTGATACAAGTATGAGGTTGAGATAAACATCAAAATAACCAACTAAAAGAGCTTTACTCTTTTGAAGAGTGTTTGGTTATACTCTTTTTTTTTTTTTTTTTTTTGAGACAGAGTCTCACTTTGTTGCCCTGGCTAGAGTGAGTGCCATGGTGTCAGCCTAGCTCACAGCAACCCAAACTCCTCAGGCTCAAGCAATCCTTCTGCCTCAGCCTCTCAAGTAGCTGGGACTATAGGCATGCGCCACCATGCCCGGCTAATTTTTTCTATATATTTTTAGCTGTCCAATTAATTTCTTTCTATTTTTGGTAGAGACGGGGTCTCGCTCTTGCTCAGGCTGGTTTCGAACTCCTGAGCTCAAACAATCCACCCGCCTCGGCCTCCCAGAGTGCTAGGATTACAGGCGTGAGCCACCGCGCCCGGCCTTGGTTATACTCTTGAAGGTGTTACCGCTCTGGTGGGGCAGAGGACATGCAAAGAGAGCCCAACCCGTGCAGACCCATCCCCTGGGGTGGCTTCTGTCAGGTTATAGCGCTTACACCACTGACAAAAGGTGACCGGCGGAGAGACCTGCCCTCCAGTGCATCCCTCACTCCCACGGCGTTTCTACACAGGATGTCCGTTTCGTTACAGGGTATCACTGAAGAGCGTACTCCCACGGCAGTCACTGTCCTGAGGAAAGACCGTGGACTTGGAATCAGAGGCCCTGGCGTCAAAGCTTTGCTCTACCTCTTCCCTTGGCCTCTAACTGACATGAGCAAGCCTGCTTCGTTGTCTAGAAAAAGGAGGCCATGCCATGACTTTAGGAGGACTGTGGTGAGAACAAGTTAAGTAAAAGAAGTAAACACACTTTGTAGACCGCGGTATGTAACTCGCATGGATTGGGAAACTTTCCCACACTCACACTGCATAACTTTGACTTCTTTCCCCAGTGGCATCCAAAGTCCTTTAGTTGGCGCGTGAGCCAGAAATTCCCTGGCATGTTCATTGCCTGGTACATCTGGTATACAGTCTTCTGGCTTCGTCTCATCTTCCTGAACAAAGGAAACAAGGTGTAAACGACATGGCAAAAGAGCATTGGAATTCTCTCCTGCCTGCTTTGGAGCCCACCGTCACCTGGCTCTCTCATGGGCTGCGGGTCCTAACGTCATCCTTAATGACCCCCTCAAGAACTAGAAAGAAAGACAAGTTATACCTGATCGAAAAAGCAGGAAATAAATGTACCACAGAAACGACATAGCTGTTCTTGGAGAAAAATTACTGGTGAAGCAGAAAAGAAATCTGTCCTTCATACCAAAATGATTGGTAAGCTCCAAATTTTGATGTAAATTAGATCCTGAGATTAAAAAAAAGTTTCACTGCCTCGAAACAAAAAATGAGGCAAGATGTAAGAGTTAAAGTAAACAAAGTTTCTGGAATAATAAAGATGGCATGTTATAATACAGTGGTTTATTATACCTTGAAGGCCACAGTCTTTTTTTTTGTTCCCCCCCTTTTTTTATCTCCGACGTGCCTTTCCACCACTGAATAACTACATTTACAATTAATGCATTTTTTAAACTTTCTGAATTTTTAAAAGATTTCCATGAATATTAAATTTACAATAAAATATTTGTTAAGAATCATTTATTTTTCATTGAAAGTTACCAAACACAAGTTTTCTTGGCCTTTGCCTGCCACTCTGACTCCCTTGTGCAGAAACACCCAGCCACCGTGGACAGGAAGGCTAAACTGGATGAGCTCTCAGGTCCCCTCAGAGTTTACTGTTGTCTGAGCTGCTGATACTTAAGAAACCAGCAGAGGGTGTCTCGAGGGCTGAGCCAGGTGAGGCAGACAAGGAAAATGGGGCAGCAGAGCTTAGAGAAGATGCCATCACCAGCGAGAGAGGAGGGGAGCCACAGCCGAGGAACACACTCAGCCTGCATTGCTTTCTTGGGGAAGGGAAACCCAGGCAATGAAATTTCCACAAAGGCACAGGCTTGCGTCAAAGCCAAAAATTATGACCCATCTGGCATCTGCAGGGGAGAAACAGGGTTTTCATGCAAGGAGATTTAAACCTTATGCAACCATTTTTCATAACAAGTTACTGAGTCTACAAGTATGTCTCTGGAATAACCAAGAGTACAAACTTCACACTAACCTTGATAAGCCCAGGAGGAGGTTTTTCATAACTAGAAAACAGAAAATAAGACTTGATCAACCATGTTAATGGGAACATAACACACTGCATTATATCTAAAACAGTTAATAGAATATGCACAGCACTGAGGATCCCATATAAATAAACTGATACTTTACCACAACCTGCAGAGATCTACAACTTAATTCATTAAAATAATAGCTAACATATTGTCTCAGCACAATGATTTTATTTTGGGGAAAAGGGAAAGTGAGAGATTGCCAGAGAATGTAAGGTAAGAAGACCCATAGACTAGTCTGGTTCCAAAATGTCATCGTGGTTATGTCAGATTATTGATCTAGCTTAACGTCCCCTTACTCAACACTGAACAGGCTCCGGGGGGAGGGGGTGTGCTCTGTTCCAACATGGTCAGGGGAACTCAGGGGAGGATGAGCAGGGTGAGAGGAAAGGGCCTGTCCCAGAGGGCCCACAATCATGGGCCTGCACCTCCCGCTCCAGATCCTCCCATTGCCCTGTCGCTGCTGTGACCACCCTCCAGACCTGAGCTGACCCACACCAGGCCAGGGAGCTGGGGTGGGGGGACAGGATCCTTGGGTGCCCAGTCCATGGCGCATTCAGTAGTGAGAGCTGCTAGTTCCTTGCAGGAAAAGAACATGGGAGCCTTCCTTCCTCTCAGCAACAGAGCTCTCAGACCCCCAGGGTTTGAGGATACAAATCAGGCCTGTGCTCTCAGTTTATTTTCACTTTCTACCACTCTGCCAAAGTGGCCCAAAAAGGCTGCTGGGTTCCATGTTTGGAAAATCAGCACCAGATGCTCATGTTTAAGTATCAGCACACTACTATCAAACACAGCGTGGGTGTTTGGCTTTTAATTGTGAAAGCCTAATGGACTAAAAAAAAAAAAAAAAAAAAATGTAAAGGGCAACTGAACATCTCAGGTCTCTTCAACAAAGGATTTAAAAGATTAAATATTCCATAAACTTAGTCGATAAGGCAGCAGCAGGGTTGGAGGGGATTGACTCCAAGTTTGAAAGAAGTTCTACCACAGGTAACATGCTATCAAACAGCATCACATGCCACAGAGAAATCTTTTGTGAAGGCAGACAAGTGATGTGGCAAACTTCACTGTTGCCTTATTTTAAGAAATTGCCAAAGGCACCCCAATCTTCAGCAACCAGCACCTTGAACAGTCAACAGCCAACGATCACAAGGCAAGACCCACCACCAGTAAAAAAATCAAGAGTAACTTGGCACTAAGAAAGAAAAATGGAGCCAAAAATGCACTATTAGGAGCTCATCTCTGTGTTTTGGTTTTAAATATGCAATGTTACTTCTGCAGTTGTTTCAGGAATAAAATCCCCATTCTACCCCTAATGAACTTGGTATCTCCATCTACAAAAAAGGAGCAAGTACAACAGGCAAAACTAAACTTAACCTGCAGGCAATATCAAAGGTTCAGCTTAAAAATTTACTCCTTGCACAAGTAACCAGTCAACAATTATTATGCCGGGCACCAGAAGGGAGAACTAAGAGCATAAAAACATTCCCACTTCCATTAAAAAAAGCATAGAATTAAAACTGTCCTCAGAAGTGCCCATGTAACTCTTTATAACTATCCTGATAAAAAGAGATGTTTTGCGCTCTTACGGTAGCACTCCAAATTCTAGCAAGAATGTTCTCAGGTTCTAAATCAGTATGACTGTGAATCCTGTAGAGGTAAAGCAAGGCAGAGTAGAAACTTCATGGTCTTTGAAGGAAAAGACTTTTGGTTTGAATTCTGATTCAGTCTCACTAATACGTGTTTAAGGCAAGTTACTTATGAAAGGATGGCTTTGCTAATAAACTATCTAACAAAGAAAAATTAAGTAGAAGGGTGAAGGAGAGACATTTTTCCCACCCCTACACAGACCAGGAATAACCTGGGAAGAGCAGAAAGCTTCTCTTGCCTGTGCTCAGCTGCAACCATCAAAGGCTGGCCAGGCTTTCCTTACTTCCATCCAGGGATTGAACCCAAGTAAAACCAACAATACTGAGCATGCAAGTCTGCATTTAGGACAAGCAGCAAGCTGGGAAGGAAATTCTGCAGGTATCTGTACCCTCAAAAAGTAACTTTCAGGCTCTTAAAGGGATTTGTACCTCCCTCACAAAGAGTAAGATATAAACAGTTTTGGCTCAGATCTGTCCTTTAACCCTCTAAACTTCTAGGAAAATACTCATTTTAATACTTCAGAATGACAGCAAGGTATAGAAACACTTAATGATTTAATGTTTCCTTCATCCAGATCCATTCCTTATTGAACTGACTTTAAAGACCTTTGGGCTGGGTGCAGTTGTCAGTTCCTGTAGTCCCAGCTACTCCAGAGGCTGAGGTGGGAGGATCACTTGAGGCCAGGAGTTCAAGACCAGCCTGGGCAACATAGCAAAACCCTATCTTTGAAAAATAAATAAATTACCATTTGATCCATCAGTCTCACTACTGGGTATCTACCCAAAGGAAAAGAAGTCATTTTATCAAAAAGACACCTACACTCAAATGTTTATCACAGCACAATCCACAATTGCAAAGATGTGGAATCAACCTAAGTGCCCATCAATTCATGAGTGCATAAAGAAAATGTGGTGTATATATACCATGGAGTACTACTAAGCCATGTTATTTTGATGTAAATTCTTGCTAAACAATTTAGGAACTGCCTCTCCTTTTCCTTTAAAAACACTTTTGTAACTGCTTGCAAATCAGAGTATATATTCAGGGCACCTTGAATCTATGTTCCCAGGTTTCGGTCCTCAAACTTGGCCCAAATAAACTCTCTACTTCTATAAATTTTATAAAATTAATTAATTAATTCTGCATCGGCTTTTTCCTCTAGATCATCAATTACAAAAGTTCAGCTTCTATGGCTAACTACAGAATCACAGATAACTGGAAAATATGCTAATTTAACCTCCCACCTAAGGTTTGTATTGGGGATCAGGGCACACCACCCCAAGAAATGACTGCAGGAGACCAGAATACACCACTCCAAATTATGCCACCCTGGCATATTGATTACTTTGAGCTAAAAGAAATTTGAGAACCAGCCAAGGCAGGAAAACTTCTTCACCTCCTCCTCAACTGCCTAAAATAATGTGTAAGACTCCCCTTTTGTAAAGAGAAATTTACATCTATTAAGGACATTTTCATTATGAAAGATATCTGTTATCAGGAAGAGAGCTGTCCGGAGACAACTTTTATCACCACAGAGACTTAACTGCATAACACTGCATGATACAGCAACTTTATTTACCATACAATTCCTCTCCTTACCCTGCCATATGTCTCCACCACCCCCCAGTGAGCCCCAAGCCTCTACCCACCAGCCTTCCAATGAGTTTCCTATTTTTGTGGCTCTCCTGAACATGAGTATGTAATTAAAATGTTTTTTTCTACGATTAACCTATCTTATGATCATGTCATTTGTAGCCCGGCCAAAGAACCTAGAAGGGTAGACGGATGCCATTTTTCCCTCCCCCACGTTTGAATCTTTACACCACGCTCCTCTCCCAGGTTATCTGGACTCTCCTTGAACCCTCCGGAGCTATGGCCGCCTACATCAGGCCATGCTGGCCCGTGAAGAGTACTTGACGCAGGCCCTAAATTCCTCTTCATGCTGGGCTGCATTTGGCCTCTCTGAGCTTCCACCCTCGGTTCCTGGTAAAAAGTCCTCAGGCCCGGAGAGAACAAGTTTACGCTCTCTTCTACCTCACAGCCCCTAGGCCGATCCCTCGCCCTCTTCTCTCTTCTCCTCCAGCCACACTAACAATACAGGCCTCATTTCCTCTCCCCTTTTTCACAGCAGAGGATGAAAAGAATGAGGGCTTTCTCCATTTCACTGTGGGCCCACTGACCTACAAGGTGAAATGACAGGGACCAACGAGCTCAGCTGAACTTAGTTGTCGGTCCAGAAACACCGGTCGCGCGCCTAATAATGCTTAGCTCCTCCCAACAGTGGCAAAGCCCAACACCAAAGTTCCTGCGCCAGAAATGAAAGCCGTTGCCTCCCTCCTCGGGACGGCCGAGCCCCCACCCGCGTGCACCCTGCTTCCACTGCCCCCTCCCAGGCCGAGGCCGGCTCCGAGGGCGCCGAGGGACCGCGTCCTTTAGCTTCCACCCGGAGGAAGGGCTTGATGTCCAATGCCCGCGACGCCGACTTCAGTTGCCGGAACCGGGCTCCTGCTGGGGTCCAGCGGACGAAGGGCCGGGCGGCCAGGCCCCCAGCCCACCCCGCAACCCCCGGCCCGCGTCGTCCCGCGGCCGCGAGTCGGGGCGGCGACTCACAAGGACTCCAGGTGCTTGAGCTGCTGCAGCTGTTGCGCATCGTGCCTCCGCCGCTTCTGCTCGCGGCGCCGCTGCTGCTCCTGCTCGGGCGGCTCCCGCGGCCGCCGCGCGCCCCCAGCTCCCGAGTCGTCGCGCCCCGGCCGGGACGACATCGCTGCCCCAGCAGCGCAGCTCCAGCGGCCCCTGCGGCGCGGCTCCAGCAGCGGCCAAGAGGGCACTTCCTCCGCGCGGCGCCCGCCCGGCCCCGCAGCGCCCCCTCCCGCCGCCGCCCCGCAGCCCGCCTCGGCTGGGGCCGCAGTCACAGCCAAGGCCGAGAGTCCCCCGATCCCCGCAGCCGCCCCCAATACGGTGCTCGGAGTCCCCGGGTCCCGCCGCCAGGCCCACCGCTGTCGGTGGTTGGGGCGCGCCCCCTGGCGGCGGCCGGGAGGCTGGGAGGGGGCCTGGGGCTGGAGCCCGAGGGCGCTTCCTGGTGTGCGGGGCGGGGCGGGGGGCGGAGGAGGGCACCTGCCTGACCACTCCCACCTTTGGGCTGGGATTGCGCCTTCGTGGTCCTCTCCGCTGGATGCAAGGGAGCCTGTGCCAGCCGAATTTGTATGTCTCCAGTGACTAGACACAAGGCAGCTGCTCATTACGTAGTAATAGGATTCATCCATTTTTGGAAAAAAGCAAGAGTGTCCATATAAATTCTCCAGTTTTCCAGAGCATGGAGCCATCCTTAAAACAAACTCAACGTACATTGTGTTGACCAAGGTTTGGGTGCTGGAAATGAAAACAAAAGCAAATATACACTGAGCACTTGTTATGTGCCATTGAGCCAAGCCCTTCATAAGAATTGGTTTAATCTTAAACTGAATAAGTGGTGTTTCCATCATTGTTTTGTGGACAAGTAGGAAGCCCAGAGATTTTAGCCACATGCCCAAAGATGCAGAGGTAGAAAGTGTAGAGCTAGGAGTCAACAGTGTCAGGTAGTTCACTAGGTTGAATTTTGAAACTGTATCTGATAAAATTATTTTAGCTTTGAAGTCATGGAAAAACCCACAGTGGAAGTAAAAATAACAGCATAGTGAAATATTTGCTTGAAATGTGATATTCAGTGTGGTCATTAGCTAAAATATATATGGAGTTCTTTCAAATTTATTATAGAAAATCCAAATGGACACACAAAGGCTATGAACAGACATATGAAGTTATGCTGATGTGTCCCAAAATCAGGTTTCCCTCTGACAGGGAATTGGTGCGTGAACCAATCCAACAATTCGTGACAATTTGCTGAGCCAATAAGTGGCCTGTAAATGCCTTGCAAGACAGGTCTTGGCATGCTGCTCAAAAATCATTTGACCATATATCTGAGTTTATTTTGGGGCTCTCTTTTCTATTCCTTTATTCTATATGTCTGTCTTTATGCCAGTACCATAGTGTTTTGATTACTGTAGCTTTGTAATGCATTTGGAAATTAGAAAGTGTGATGCCTCTAGCACTGTTCTTATTTTTCAAGATTGTTTTGGCTATTTGGAGTCCCTTTAGATTCTATATGAATTTTAGGATGGAGCTTTCTATTTCTGCCTAAAATGTCATTGGGACTTTGACAGAGATATCATTGAATCTACAGACCACTTTGGGTAGTATTGACATGTTAACAATATTAAGTCTTCCAATCCATGGACATCGGATGTCTAACTCCCATAAAGGGAAAAAGAGAAAAATGAATGGGGAGGAAAGTGGAGCAACAGCCCTTACAATCTCTTGGAAGTCACTTCAGATGGAGGAACTTGCAAAAATGGGGGGTGGTGTCGGGGAAGGAGGTGCAAACATAATGGCTATGGGCCTCTTTGTCTGTACCTGAATTAGTAGCACCTGAGCGGTGAGGACTGAACTCTGACCTTTTTTTCCTCTTGCTCAAATTCCTTTCTAGGAGCCCTGTTGAATCACACCTAAAAATGATAAAATCTCATTAAATGAGTTTTTATTAATTTGGTATAATGTGGCTTATTTTCCAACCTGATTCCAACATCACATGACAGATAGAAGACCCCCTTATCTTGAGTCAAGCATTCTAGCAGACCTCCTATCTTAACTCAAGCATTCCTTTCTATTAGCAAGAATAGCGCCTCGGATAAACCTCCTCGGCTACCATACTGCCACTGAGCAAAGCTGACTCCAGGTCTTTAGATAAAGCTTCTCTCTCAATCAATTCCCAACTAAAGAATCCCTAAACCCACCTATGACTTGTAGGCCCTCGCTTCAAGATGCCCCACCTTTTTAGGCCAAACCAATGTAAGCCTTCCATGTATTGATTTATGGTTGTACCTGTAATTCCTGTCTCCATGAATGTATAAAACCAAGCTGTAATCCTGGTGCCCCTGGCATATTTTCTCAAGACCTCTTGAGACCATGTTCCTTGGACCCCAGTCACACATATTTGGCTCAGAATAAACATCTCTAAATTATTTTATAGAATGTGGAGGGTTTTTTTCCCATTAACAGCTCAGATCCTCAATAATTGGAAGGTAGGTTGGTTCCTTTTTGTCCACGCTGGCTCCTGCAGGCTGTGTGCAAGCTTCTCCAGGAAAACGTGCATAGCTGCCTGCCGCAGAGCTGGGGATAGGGGATGGGTAGCTGCTACCACGCTAAGAGCAAAAATTGACGAGAATTAACCACAATTTGCCATCCAAATCTTCTGGAAGTTGCAAGCCAGCAGTAAGCTCTAGAATTCCAAAATAGGTGGAGAGACAGATTCCTGATGCTTCCTACTCTGCCACCTTCCAC